CCCTGGTGGCTTTCTGCAGGGATCACACCCTGCAGGAGCCACTGTCGCAGTGCTTGGACCCCTTTAGTGACAGTCTTTATAAGACAAGACTCCCTGACCCGGGAGCTCCATCCTCTACACTCATGGGTGCTGCAAAGAGGGTTCCACCCCGTCAGATGAGGGAAACATTTCTTCCCAATTCCTGCATTGCAGTGAACTTGCTTGATCTACCACTATTTATCAGGTACCTCTCCCATTAGTCAACCACTCTAGCAAATCTTCAGGTGCTGCCATAGTGTGTGCTTGCTCTGCCTCCTCCACATCAAGATAAGGATGCCGAGGTGGGGATGTCCACAATGCAACAGATGCTAGTCCTTTAGCCTCTGCTGAAGCTCCTACTAGAACTCAAGCTTATCTGTGGCTTCACAAAATTAAAAAAGAAATGGCCCTGTTCAAAGTGGCAATCAGGAAAAAATGCTCCTCAGCAGAGTTGGGTGGCTGCAACACCCTAGTTCAGTCTGGTCACTTGAAATTACCTCAGTAGCAACATCCTCTGAAGTTCTTCAGGCAGGAGAGGGGCCATCTGGCTTTTCTTCTTGGCCTCCCTCATCACATGTGTCTCTTCCAGTCTCTTGCTCCTGTCCTTTCCCTTCCCCTTAAGGTTATTTGCTTGCTTGTCCTATAGTCCTCCTGTTTTAAAGACCAGTCCCTAATTTAGCAGGGTCTGTCTGTGCACTGCTGTGACAGTACAGGCAAGGAAATGAAGATTCTGCACATGAAGCCTCCTTAATGCTCTCATATCCTTCCTTTCTCCCTAGTTTAAACCCAAGCGTGTTGGAGCTGGGTTTCCAAAGAAATCCAGCCTGTTCCAGACAGCTTCAGAACTGCTGAAGGCCGAGGAGGAGAGCAACACCAAACTTGTCAAAAAAGATGATGATTGGGACAATGGGCAGGAAAACAGCATCTGCAACCTGGAACTGGACACCAAGATCCCTGTTCTCCAGAAGAAGGAAAGAGCAACCAGTGCACGGCGTGAGAGTGCTGGAGAAGAAGCACCCCTTCCTGAAAAGAAGGGACAACAACCCAGCCCAGACACAAAATCTTCCCTTTGGGATAGCCCTCCCAAGAAGGTCAAACCTAGCAAGAAGCAGCAAATGCTGGCAGAAGCAGCCAAAAAAGAATCGCAGGACATTTCCAAGTTCTTCTCCCTCAGTAAAGCTGGATCTAAAGTCACAAGTTGCAGCTCAGCAGAGGAAGACTCTTCTGCAAGGACACTACCTCAGGTTTCTTCTCAAAGCCTATGTCAAGAGAAATTGATACCTCAGGAAATCAAAAATGTCTCTGGAGAGGATGCGACTGGACAGTCCCTCACAGAAGATAAAGAGTTAGAGGATTTGGAAGGATCATTGACTGAGAGAGAAGAGGACTTTAAGACCCAGCAAGCTGCTAAATTTGAACTACTTCAAACAGAAATTGATGAAAAATCCAGGTAATCCTCATCTCTGTACTCTCTACATTGCTTTACTAACTCCCTGCACGTTAGAAATGCACATTAGAGGCAGGGGAGGGAGTCTCAAGGATACTGACAGTAAATGCAGCAATGTCTTTACTGTGGAATAATTAAAATTGCCCTTCTCTCTGCTCTTCCCATGCCAGTGCTGCTGAAACCATCACAGACACTGAGCTAACTGCTCTTGGGGAAGGTCAGAATGGGAAGAGACCAGGATCAGATGAGGTAAGGTGGTAAAACAGATGAATGCTGCTTTCCTCTGCTCAGCTCATGCCAAGCTTCCATCGCATCTAGACTGGTAACTAACTATAATTAGCCAGTTGCTTTTTTCAAGTCAAGGGAGCAATCATAGGCCAACAACCCCTGGCACCCCTCGGCAGCAGAGCATGGAGACAATCTTCCTTGCCTTTTAGTGCTTGGTTCTGTATTTGGGGTCTGTGACTGCCTTGTAGCTGTCTCTTGTGGACAGTGTAGATTTTTCTCCCTCTGACGAGCTGAATGGCAGTGCAGCTCTCCCGTACTGATCGTGCCCAAGAGCTCAGGAAGGCATGCCCAGCACACAGCCTGGAAGGTACCTTTCTATCACTTTCCTGTATGAAAAAGGAAAAAAATGGAGCAAAATCCCATACAAATTCCTGTATAGTATTCACTAAAGAGCCTGCTGCAAAGATTCATGTTCTTAGAAGGCAATGGCTGCTGGGAAGGCTAGTGCTGCTGCAGGGATCAATGGTTTTGGTTTTACTCTGTCCTGTCTCCAGGATATGGAAAGCCCTACAACAAAGAGGCTACGGACAGCAGCAAAGTCTTCTATTCTCTCCCAGCCAGAAAGCAAAGGTGTTGGTCCAGCAAAGAAGAAAGTGACGTTTGATCCAAACATATCACAGTGCGATAAAGAAGGAACCACCAAGACCATCCAGCCAGCGACCAAAGGCATGTCCCTCAAAGAGACTGCAGACATCGTTGTCAAGTACTTGACCCCCTTCTACAAGGGTGGCAAATTTGCTTCCAAGGTAGGGCATGTTTCAAGGCTTTGCCTAGCAGAACAGTGCTGAAATCTATCTAGCATCTGGGGCTCCAAGAAGGGAAAGGGATGCTAGGAAATTTCTGCCAAGTTAAACGTTGGTATTTGCTACTGTCGTGACTTTAGGTCCAGCAACTTACCTCTCCCAGGGAAAAGAGCTTGTGTGTGACAAACTGGCATCGCCTTGGTCCTATACTTGTTCAGAAGTGTTTATGTTTTCACATTAAACTCTGGGAGACTTTTATAACTCTTACATTGTGGAATGGAAGCCAATAACGTTCAGCTTTGATCTGGTTTATCTGATGCATACTGCAAGGCAGTGTGTGTGTGCACATCCTCATCCAGCACTGAAGGATTGGGTCTATTTGCAGATTAACAGGCCTCTGTAGTATAAAGCTGTGAACAGTCTGTGCTACAGCCAGCCCATACTAAAGCAGAAAAAGTGTGGAAATGGTTCAGTGATCTCCACCTCCTGCTCTTTCTGCTTCCCCTCTCTGCAGGAGCTGTTCAAGGGTTTTGCTCGGCACCTGTCCCACCTCCTGACTGCAGAACACAATCCTGCCCGCAAGACTGGTGAGTTGGTAGCTGGGGATGACCCCAACAATCTGGGTTCTTTTGATGCCAAGTGCATTGAGCTTTTAGAGGGGGCACGTACCTTAAGCATCTTCTCAAAGGTGGTGCTGTTTCTCTTGCAGTGAAGGAAGAAGCCCAGAGACTCATCAAGGAGTTTTTCAAAACGCGGGTTAGATGTGAGAGTGAGATGGACTGGCAGGAGCTGCAGAGCTCGGAGAGATAATCTTGGCATCTTGGTGGCTCCTTCCCTTCCTTGAGCAGGTGGGACCAGAGACTCTTGCTGAACTTGGCCAAGAAGAGTTTTGTGAAAATGCAGCAGGGAGCTTTTTCCTCCCACTGCATTTTTGTTCTCTTCTGTCTGCAGTGTCACCCTAGTGACACAGGCCCAGGAAAGCAGTTTCTGTGACCTCCACGACCCAGGGCCCTGACACCCTCCAGCACATCGTGCCAGGAGGCAGCGAGGCTGCAGCTGCTCCATAGGTAGGGGCTGCTGCCTCAGGTGTTCCGTAGTGCCTCCAACTCTGCTCCCTGCAGCAGGCTGGGATGGACTCACATTTTCCAGCTGGGACTCTGCTCTGGGATAACAGCCTCTTGCTCCCTAGGTAGCTGCTCCCCTTGCTGCCCCCTTTCCTATGTTCTTATTTCAGTGTTACCAATAGAAGCCTTATGCTGCAAACCCCTTCACCTGCTTTGCTCAGGGCTGCCAAGGAGGGAGGTGTTTAGATTCCTGGCTGGAACATTTTCCCTCAGAGGGCAGGGTTTTGTTTTTACCCTGTGAGCACTGCCTACTTTCTGAAGGTAGAGAAAGTCAGATCCTTCTTGTTTTAATCCTAACTTTTAACTGAGCCCAGTTCTGCCTGCCCTCCCATTTAAGCAGCGATGCCTCTGTGTTAACCTCTCCCACGGTGGCACCAAGGTTGCTGCCGCTGTTCCAGCATTTGCTTGTGACCCCCTAAAGCCATATCTCCTCCCTGTGCCTCGCTCACAGCACCCCAGGGCAGAGGGCAATGCTGCTGCTGCAACGGGTTAGCATAGTGCTGTGGCCCTCAAATTGATGCTGTGGTGCCTCTGCTGCTATATTTATATAAGGACCTGACTCTTTAGGGCATCAGCGTGCTTTAAATACCCTGATCCCCAGGCACAAGTCCTTCCTGTTGGGTTGTTGTTGGGTTCGGCCTTTGTTCTGTGCCTACAAGAGGATGGGTGGCCTCAGGTACTACTGCTGCTAGAGGAATCCACAACCTCAGAAGCCATGAAAGGAAACAGGCTTTTGAATCACTTGGATACAACAGATTTTTTTTTTTTTTTAAATAGACTGAGGTGGAGGTGCAGAATTGACAATAAAATGATGTTAGAGCTGCTGTGGACTCATCCTGGAAGCTTTCTTATCTATGGTATAAACTTGGCTCAAGTTACATGAAGACAATTGCTCCATCCTTGTGGGCACAAACATGAGGGCTCCTGTGTTTTGTTAGAACAGGCAACTACTGAATTCCAAACTGGCCCACAACAGGCAGGAAGGCTGGGGCAGGAGGCAGCTCCAGCTCCCCTGGCTGCAGGACTTTTCCACCTAGAACCACAACAGGAGCTTAGAAATGTTTAACTCAAAGCCATTTTCAGCTTCAGCTTGGTCTGGCACGAGCAACAGAGCTCACGGGTAAGACAAGAGAGCTTTACACAAAGCTTTTTTTTTAAACACAAAAGTGTTTTTCAGCTGTTGCTTCATAGTTTCCACCTTACCTTTCCCTTAAAGAGCCTGTATTACTGGCCACTTAATGTAGGAGGTGGAGAGTTCGTCCTCAGAGAGGAGTAGCAAAAGCTCACAAAGAGAAGGGGAAGGAGGATGAGTTAAGCCTCAAATGTTTTTCTCCGTTTCATGGTGCTGTGGGACAGCACTAGACTCGCAGTGATGCTGCTGAAGGAGGAAGGCCAGAACAAGCAGCACCTACAGGGAAGTTCCTGGCCTAAAAAGCTCAGCAATTGCTGCTGGCATCAGCTCTCAGGCAGGGAGCCAGCTCTGGGTCAGGGCTTGCACTGAGCTTCCTCGGATCTAGTTCATTCCCTGTTAACTGTAGCATCCTTCTCCTTATGCTCTTCCACGTACCTGCAGGTCACTCTTGCCAGGATCTGTCACTGCATAGCTGCAGAATCACTACTGTGCAATTATTTTAATACAGTGCAGGTATATTTTTATTTCAGTAAGATAGCTGTAGTAATAAAAATAAATTAAGCACTTTTATACAACCCAGGACTCGGCCCTGTGCTGCACTACACGTTCCATTTGAACACTTTTTCTCCACGGGCACAGAGCCATCATTTAAGCATGACAGCTGCATGGACATGACTGAGTTCTTTATAGTAGAAGAGAAAACAAGGCACATAATTATCTTAGCAAGAAATTAATGAACAATAAACATCCTTACCCTTGCAGCTCAATCTGTGACCCAGCACATGTAGTAACTGCATACTAATAGTGATTTGTTTTCTAATTAAGATGCTTTTTACAAGCTCCTGCTTCACAAACCCTCCTGTAGAGCATCTCTTGCATATCAAGATAGAGAAAAAAATCATCTTAAAAGAAATAGCAGCAGCCAGTGCAGTCATATCATAGCTCTGGCTTTGCTTTCTAGCACAAAAAATACAAAAATCTCCAGCAAGCATCAGTCTTTGTGCCCATCATCAATTCAGAAAAAAGAAAAGAGAAACACAGTCCCCACCATTGCACAGCTTGAAGGCAGCTGCCCCTGTGCGTCCACCTGGTCTGTTGCCTGCTCAGTGCAGGGCAAAGCAGCCGTGTGAAAACACCCCTCCGAGGAAGGGCACAACTCACAGGGACCGAATGGCAAGTCACAGAGGTGAGATGAGGAACCAAGTCCATCAGCAGAGGCCATCACGGAGGTGGCAGGCGTGGAAAGCAGCAGAGCTCAAGGACATCTTGGGAGAGAGCCCTTCTTTGAGGACAGGGCAAGGAGCCCAGAGAAGGGAAACCTGAGCTTTTCTGCCTGCGGGTTTCTTCTCAGGCTTTAGTGCTGAAATTCAGTCTGACTCAAGATGACAACAATTGTGTGATACACCTCTTTAGCCTGTCAAAAAACAAAACAGCATCAGTTACTCTCTACTTAATCCTCCCCAGAAATCCCTGCTTATGGTAGTTAAATATTCCCATAATTATCTTCCCATAATTAAGCATCAGCTATGCACTGGAGCTCGAGTTGTGCTTGGAAACTGCCCCAACTACCTCTGGGGGAGCAGAGAGCACTGCTTTTGTCTCTTGCTAGGGGCTCAGCTGGGCAGTGAAGGGCAGTTTCTAAATTGCCAAAAGGAAACCGTGCCTCAAGGCTGGTTGTTTCACCTGTGGCAGTTCAATCCAGAGGGTCTTGGGGCTGGCAGCAGAGCCGTAGTTGAGCTCCATGCCCGGCAGGCCGCCCTCGGAGTTGGGTCGCAGCGTTCGCATCTTCTGCAGCTCCTTCAGGGGAATGACACGGCAGATCTGGGCAAGGACAAGAAGACACTGTGTCCCCGTCTTGAAGAACAAACCCACCTCGTCTGGTCAAGAAGCATTTAGCTCCGGAGTTTCTTTAAAGCTGAGACAAGGAGCGAGGTGCAGGGCAACACGTACTGAAGAAACACCAGGGCCACAATAATTGCTAGGCACCTGCTGCCAACGTGTTCATCCAACTGCTGCAGGAATAAGGTACATCTATGAGGAGAGGCTGAGGGAGCTGGGCCTGTTCAGCCTGGAGAAGAGAAGGCTGAGAGGGGACCTGAGCAGTGTCTAGAAGTACCTCAAGGGAGGCAAGTGAGGAGGATGGTGCCGGCCTCTTTTCAGTAGAGGCCACCGACAGAACTAGAGGTAATGGCCACAAACTGAAACACCAAAAGTTCCACAGGAACTTAAGGAAAATTTTCTTTCCTGTGAGGGTGCCAGAGCACTGGAACAGGCTGCCCAGAGAGGTTGTGGAGTCTCCTTCTCTGGAGATCTTCAAACCTGCTTGGACGCAGTCCTGTGCCACGTGCTCTAGGTGACCCTGCGTGTGCAGGGGGGTTGGACTAGATGATCTCTAGAGGTCCCTTCCAACCTTGAGCATTCTGTGATTCTATGAATGAGACCCAGCTTTAGTTTTAATACAGTTCACACTCATTTCCAAGGTTATTGTGCTTACAAAAGTACACAGGGCAACACACGTGTCCATCCTACTATAGTTCACACTCGTTTCCAAGGTTATTGCACTTGCAGAAGCACACAGGGCAACACACGTGTCCATCCTACCTCTATCTGTCACTTCTGGGCTAGAGCTGTTGCTACAGCAAGTGGCTGCCATGCAGGTACATACAGTCTCTTTCTGCACTGGTTCTTCTAAAAGTCAAAGCTAATTTTTGGCAGGCATCAGGGCTCTGGGCTTTGTCTGGCATACCTGGGCAGCGCTATCCAGAACTATGATCTGTTCTTTATTCACACCAAAGAAACAGGGCGGGGGGATCGTCTCATCGCTGATTCTCTCCACAAGGTAGATGTTGTAGCCAAAGAGAGGCACTTTCATCACCTCCTCTGTAAGAAAGCAAGAAGGGGCCTTCAGGTAGCAGCTTTCACCCGAGAATCTACTGCACAAAGCTAAGACAAAAGCTGCAAGTGTTTCCAATCTTTTCTACATTAAAAAGATTGACAACTTCTCCCTCCTTCCCTAGGTCCCTGGCATTCAGTTTGCAGCAAGTGAATGGATGTGTTATTCTTTAAAGAGCAGGAAAGAGTATTGAAATAATCATACAGGCTCTGAAAATTTGGTGCAGGCTTTGACCAAGAGGTGGAACCTGCACCACCATCTCCACACTTGGGAATAAGTGCCAGCTGCAGGAGGAGGCTGTCAGTCACATGTGTTGGAGCATTCCAGGCTCCAAGGACCCTTGCCAAGCCCAGGAATTGCCCCCAGAGTGGGTTCAGAGGCAGCTGCCATCATGCTCAGGGTGGGCTACTCAAGCAGATGTGGGTGTCTCCTCACCTATAAACTGGATTTTTGCATCCATGGGCAGGAGGGGCTTCCTGGTCCTCAGCAGCTGGGCAACGTGGTCCTCCAGCGCGTGGTGGCTGATGCGGGTGCGCAGCAGCTTCGGCGTGTACTCCTGCAGCTCCTCCCTGCACGGGAGCACAGCGACTCAGCCCCTGCCCGGCTCCAGCAGAGAGCTCGGCCAGGGGAGGCAGCAGCAAGGAGGGGAAGCGACTCTGACTGGCAAAAAATGGGGAGGGAGGAGGAGGAGCAGAACAGATCATGTCCAAATTGAATAACGTGAAAGGAAACGTCCCAGAAGCTGGATATCCACATGGAGAGAAATTCCTCCTTTCCAGAGGCAACAGGAGCTCTTCAAGCAAGAGCTGTAACATGCAAGGACTCCAGGGGCTGTTTCATGGGCAGTCTCAGCTGAACCACACCACAGTGCATCTCTGTCTCCAAAGCTCTCCACTGAGCAGAGCTCTCCCTGCTCAGCACGGCTATTCCCTTAGTCCCTAAGGCTGATGCTTTAGGGGATTTGATAGACACCTACCACTAACAGCACTTGGAGTCAGAGCACACAAGGATACAGAAAGAAATGAATGTGAAAATACAGCCGGGGACTTCAGGAGGGCTGGATTAGAGATGCAGAGCAGAGTGGTCAGCTTTCAGGGTGTGAGCAGGGAGAAAACTTTCCTGGTGACAGGCAGAAGCCAGACACCACGTGCTTGCAGTTAGTGCATTCACCAGAATGATCCATTCCCTAATCACCCACAGAGTTTCAGGCCCTTCCCCTGACCCCTGCCACGCCAGACCACCCGACACAAGCGTACCTGGAGGGAGCAGTGCTCTGCTGCTCTGTTGTTTTGGCCCAGTGCTGGAGCATTGCCAAAATGCTGATCTGCATCTCCACTTCTTTGCCGTAGCCCAGCAGAATCCTCCCATTCACGTAATCCCACAGTATCTGAGGGAGAGCACAGCAAAGTGCACGTTGTTAAACGTCAGGGAGGCTCCTGGTGCTCATGCTGCCTTTGTTGCTTACCTGTCCATAATGGAAATCAGTATAAATACTGTTCTCAAAGTGCAGAGGCGTTTTCCACGTGACCCTCCGTAAACTCATGGTGATCAAGTTATCCTCCAGCAGGTAATCGTGAAGATATTCCTCCGATCTCATCGGCCTCACCATTTTCACTGCATGTTAATGCAGAGAGATGGCCATTAGTCTTGAAGCTGAGGCAGCGAGTCAAACCCCATGGCCTGGAAGGGGAGCCTTTCTGCACACCCCTATTCCACCCTGCCCCTGCAACAGCCATTCCCAAGGGACGTGGACACTCACAGACCCACAGGGCTACACCCATGCAAACACAAGGATCTTTCAGGAACAAGCAACACGGCTCCTGAGAAAGAACCATCCCTTAGTACAGGGGGCACAATTGGAAAGGAACCACCCCAAGGCCAGCAAGGGTGAGGACACCATCAAAGCCAGCAGCCACCGTAGCGTTTGCTGAGCAAGGGTTAAGCAAGCAGCTAGTCACGCTCTACTTGCCGGGGTTATTGGCGATGGTCCTGATGGCAAAGAGAGCAAATTCCCGGATCTCTTCCTGCTCGCCTGCTCCCATCTGCTCACAGATCTCCTGCAGGAGCTCCTTGCCTACCTGGAGCAAGGAGGAGCTGGTAAGCACTGTGGCCTGGAAGCACCCAGCAGCCCCGGGACAGGCTGGACCCTCCTGGAGGGGAGCAGAACAGCTCCAGTCCTTGTGCAGGGACATGGGCTGGGGGTCCCAGCACACTGCAGGCCCCACACAGAGGGGCTGCGATGGCACCACGGGACTGAGGGGTTCACAGATAAAGGAGTTCCCTGGTGTGGCTCAGGGGCTGGATCAACGGAAAAATGAAAAGCAGAAGACTCACAGTAAAGGTCTTGATTCTGGTGAGATATTCCACACCTCCAGGCATGAAGATCACCAGCCGGCGCGCCGCGTGCCCCTTCTGCAAAGAGCAGCTTTAAACAGGGAGACACACCAGACCCCACCGACTACACAGGCCTCCTCTGCCTTCTACTACCTGCCCTACAGCACTTGCCTCTTCCCTGCCCGTGTCCACAGCCACCCCATGGCACTGCACCCACCAATCCTCTTACAGATACGAGCTTCATGTCCTCTCTTGGGCTGCTAACTGCCCCACAAGCTCATCACACCTGCAGGCAAGCACCTGCCCTCCCTCTTGTCCCCGTGTCCCCACTCCTCTGCCCCTCCATACCAGCAATGCCTCCATCTCCACAGGGAAAGGGAGGTGCCGACGGCCCCCGTACATGACGTTTTTCCGCAGGTTGCTCTGGCAGATCTTGGCTATATCTGTAAGGAAAGGAAGGACCTTCTGTCAGACGGAGCATTGAATCCTGCAGCGTGGGGTCATCCTGGCTGTGTTGAATTCAACGTGGTCCATTGCTGGGAGAGGAAAGAGACCTCACCCCGTCCCTCACTATGTCAGGACACATCCAGATCATGAGAGGCCTCTGTGGTCCCAGATAGTGCCCACGGCAGTAGCAGTGCACAGGAGTGATGGGACCTTCTTTTCCTCTGGAAGAATCTCAGCCCAAATGCTTCATAATCTGATGATTCTGGAAGAGCATGGCCTGCCTTGACTCTAGGGTTTAGCTGCCAAATAGGGTCCATGTCACAGAACTCAGCTGAGCCCCAGGGACACACAATAACCCCATGGTGCTCAGGGGAAGATAAAGCAGGAAAAACAAAGCAGATGATTGCCTGCAGGCCCAGCTCCCTTCCCCACTCTGCTCGTTTCTCCTGTTTGACAAAATCAAGGTGATTCTCTCATTGGCCCGGGTCCCCTCCAGATTCTATCTTCTTTCCTTGACCACTCGAGCCTAGTAACAGGGAGGAGAGCTGTTGGTTCCCCAGAGCAGAGCCACAGCCGTACCGTGGTGGGTGCTGGACGGATCGCTGCTGGCTTGCTGCAGGAACTTGGTGGCGTAGGGCATGAGCGTGTTGGAAGGGAGGAAATAGCCCGTGAGCAGGTTCAGGAGTAGCCAGCCACGCATCAAACTCTCCCTAGGGAAAAGAATGAGCTGTGAACACCCTGGAACCAGACAATCTCTGCTCCAAGGAGCTCAGAGTGAACCCCTGCCCTCCTCAAAACCTATGGGAAGTGGCAGCAAAAAGGAGGTGCTGGCCCTTGGTCAGGGTATCCTTATGAGGAAGGGATTGACCAAGCTCTTCTGGCAGCAAAGGGCACAGTCACTCTAATGCCAGGGCAGCATCAGTCCTACTTCTGTACCAGCTCCCCAGAGCTCTGAAGAAATGGAGGCTCTGAGCAGCCCAGCAGCTGGGAGCTGCCAGAAACATTTACCAGTGCCCAAATACCTCAGAAGCCACAGACAAAAGGATGATTGTCATTTGAAGTGGCAAAGCCAACCCCACCGACAGGTTCATCTTCCTGGGTGCTCTGCAAAAGCCCCAGCAACAGAGCAGAAAGGGACAGCAAAACCTTCCCCTCCCCACTGTTCCTCTGCAGATGTTCCCTGTGGCCACAAGGGACACAGGATCTGGTGATGCAGGTACTCACAGTTTAGGGTTGTGTGTGACCTGCTTGATGACCTGGCAGTACACCTCATCGTGCAAAGTCTCCTTCTCCTTGCACAGCTGTGTTGGAAGAGGGGACACAGTGTTAGAGAGGCCCCCAGTCTGCTCTGTGGCTCTTCCCTCCAGCTCCTGAGCTCCTGCAGGGCATCCCTAACTCCCACCATAGCTTAAAGCTGGGATTTCACAACCTCTGGTGGGCCCAGAGAAGATGGCAGGTTGTGTTCTCATCCAGGGAGTCATATCCATTTGCACGCACATCCCTCTCCAAATTGGAAACAGCCTCTTTGCTTTGGTTTCTTTTCTCACCCAGGAAGTCATAGGCTCTCCCTGCTCTCTGCCCTCCCTGCCCCTCATTTCCATCAGTGCTTCAGCCCCATCCCTAAGGAAGGTCACAAACCTGAAGGATTTCAAAGATGCATTCAACCTCATTCTGGTTCTTGAGCTTTGGATGGTCTCCCATGAACCGCATTACAGCTGCAAAGCAAGGGCAGGTGTTTAGGTCTCAGCAGAGCTGATTCAGCCTTGGGACAGGCAGTCAGCTAGTAAATTCCAGAAAGCTCTTCTGCTCCCTGGACTATTATTACACTTGCACTGGACATACTCTTTGGGTGAGGTGCCTTCCAAGCAGTGTGGGATCCTGGGCACTTGGCCCTGAAGGCAGAGTGGATTTTGTCGTGTGCTTCCAGCAGGGATGCACGGGGCTATCAGTGGCCAAAGTGCCTTAGGAGGGACTCTCACATTTTTGCTTCCCACTCCAAGTCCCAGGATCTCTGTGACCACCAGGGCCATCTTGCTCAGCCTGGCTCCCACGACACAACCCATGGGATACTTACTCAGGAAGTTCTTTGCAGCCAGCTCACTCAGCTCACTATCAGAGTAGTGGAGCAAAGACCCCTGGATCGGGACCTGCAGGGCCAGAGCACAGGGTAGGAAGGGGAAGCAGATCAGCACAGAGCTGCATTGCAGGCTTCAGTAAAGACACAAGCTCCCAACATCTTGCCTGCAGCACTGCAGAACAGGGGATACCTGTACTCCTGCAAAGGCTGCAGTCAAGCATTTGCCACGCACACTTATCACAGTGGAGAAAAGCTAGAAACAATTCTGCAGCTGCAATCCCAGCTGTAGCCATGGGGAAAGCCTGGGCTCACCTTGGTGTGCTGGACCAGGTCAGCTGCACTCTTCTTTTCACCAGACGTCCCCTTCCCTCCCAGCCTAGGCAGAGGAGAGAGAACATAAACCAGTCTAAGAGATGCACACAGAAATGGCCAGCCTGGGTCAGGCTGCACAGGCCCATTTATCTCCTCAGGAAGGATCAGGGTGTACTCACAGGGACTGAGCCTCTTGGAAGTGGGCTGCAGCAAAGTCCATCATGGTGTAACGATCACCAACAGGAACTAGCATGATGCTGCTGGCTTCTGATGTCATGCTGGGAGTGGAGCTCTGCAGGGAAAGGCACAAAACCCACCTGGAGGGCAGCTGAGGCAATGAGGTTTCTCCTCACCCACAAGACCTGGGCAGGTCTCATCTGTGCATGGAGCCTCCCTCTCCCATTCTGATAGTGTTGGTGGGCCTCCATCTACAAGGATTTTCTCTTTTCCCGAGCCTTGGCCTTGAACACACCCAGCCACATCAGTTCCCCAGAGCCACCTCACCTCCCTGCTGGTGTTCCTGCCTTCCACAGGAGCTTTCGTGCTCCTCCGTGTCTTCCCATGTCTGTCCATATTACTGTTGAGGTAATCGGGGGCTGCAGCCAGTTGCACCAGGCTGGTGGGGAAAAGCCCAGAGCGGCCACCAACACAGCCAAACTGCCAGCCTGCAGGGACAGGGAGAGAAACAGGCTCCGTGGCAGCCACCAAGGGAAGGGAGCACTGAGGCATCCTATGGGCAACGAGAGCATCGGGCTCTGCCCAGGCATTCCAGCCTCCCAAGGTAACATCCACTACAGCTGTAGCAGGTGCAGAGGGGGTGACCATCAGAGAATGGCAGAGCCAAAGGTGGAGCCAGCACCGCTCTGCTTCCCTCTGGACTGCTTGACAGATACATGCAGGGCTTCATGAGGCCAGCAGACTATTGAATCCAGTCCTCATCTTTCCAGCAGATCCCAGGAAAACTCCCTCACCTGGTTCCACGCCTTGCATGGGCAGTAACTGGATGAGGTCCCCCTTCTTGAAGCTAAGGAGGCTCCTGTCATCTGTGACGTAGCTGCGCAGAGCAACAACGTAGTTGGTATTCTGGGGAAAAAGTAAGGGGGAGGTCAGATCTTGTCACCAAAATGCAAGGGAGTTGGAATATGTCACCCTGTTGGGACCATAGAGGAAAACCTACCACATCACAGCTGCTCCCTCACCTGCCTCAGCTCCTGAATGAAGAGGTCCACCATGGCCTTGATGTGCCGAGCCTTTGCGGAGTGCAGGAAGAGCTGCTCTGTCTTCAGAGAGAACTCCAGGGTGTTGCTGCCCTTCAGCTCCACTGACAGCACATCTGCAAAGCTGGGGGCACAGCCAGCGTGTTCAGGCTGCTTCTGCTGGGCTGGGCTCTGCCTTAGCTGGAACCAGCAGCGCAAGGGCATGGGGCTCTGAGGAGGCCAGCGAGGCCTCTGCCTGTTCTGGAGAGCGGCCTCACACCAATACTCATAGCCCTAAAGAGCAGCACTGCAGGCTGATGGTTTTTGCTGTCCCATTCTTAGGACCTCCCTGCTGAGGCCAGCCACAGTGCTGAATCAGGCCTAGCAGTCACTCACTTTAAGCAAAATGCCAGGGGGGAAGCAAAGGACAAGATCAAACTCATTAGAGGGAGGGTCTGTGAGTCACGGCAGGGCTGAGAGAATCCTGGAGGACACAGCACAACCAGGGAGCTTATCAGCTCACCCGTTCAGTCTGCCTCCCACTGACTCGCTACTCTAAAAGCCACCTGCAGGTCACGAATGATCCTCCTGCAGCCACCAGAGCCCTTCTGCTCACCTGTAGCTGCAGAGGATCTTCAGGTGCTCAGGGGTGTAGCCGGCCGCCCCTATCACCTTCAGCAGCCGCAGGCCCCGGTGGGAAACTGCCAGGATCTGAACGTCGCTTCCATTTTCACCCTGCAAGGGAAGCACAACAGCAGACAGGACACATCAGCTATCCTGAGGATACATTCCTCCCTCTACATGCTCCAGGATGGAATACATCACAGCAAGGAGCAGGGATTAGGGCATGAAAGCAAAGAAAATATGCAAAAAGTACAGGAAGCCCAGGAGAGCAAGTGACAGGTGGCAAAGGGAGGAAGAGAGGACTGAAACA